CAACACACAACAAAGATTTTCAAATGAAAACCCTTCTCATCACCAAGAGTTAAGAAAACCTTAAACTTTACCTCCCCACAAAAAAAGGTAAATATTAAATAATTATGATTTAATATCCTATTATAAATAGTATACTAATTTATTTATTTTAGAAATAATACTAGACCAACCACTGCTATTAATCCAGAGAAAATTAAAATTCAAATCCAAAATACTAAAGTTTCTGCAAGAAAGCCAGCCATTGGTGGATTAACTCGTCCAAAAACAAGAATTGGTGGTGCACCAAGAATTAACCTTACCAGAACCGCTAGACCATCTGGTGTTGCCAGAGGCGGAGTTAGATCCACAACTTCAACCACTACCAAAAAACCAAATAGAATTGTTCAACGTTATGAAAAGGCTGTTACTTTAAATGATAGATTCAGCAAAAAATAAATCCATTCCAAATACCACGCTCCCATTTTTAAAATACCTGTATAAAAAAAGAAAAGAAAAAAAAAAAAGAAACTCTTTAATTATTTTAAATAAAAAAACCTTTTTTTTTTAATTTATTAATTATATTTTTATCAACATATATTTTTGTGTTCATTGTGTCATAATTATTAAAAAAAAAAATCCTATAAAAAATTTAAACTATGAAACAAAATCTGAACCATTACTGTAATTATAAAAATAAATATATTTTAGTTTTGTTTTGTTTTTTTAATAAAAAAATGATTTATTAATTTAGTTATCAGCTGATGAAGTGGTTTGTTGGGTGAATTCGAAGACGACTTCTTTACCAGTTAATTTGTGGTAGACGGCTGAGAATGAGTCTAATTTATGTTCAGTTAAGGTCATTTCTTTACGATCTAAGTAGACTTTGTGGAGTTTTGAACCATCGAGTCTGTATCTTAAACGACGACCAACAATGTTATTTGGGAAGACTAAATCGTCAAGAATGGCATCATGGACAGCTTTGATGGTACGTGAGATTGGTCTCTTTTGCATTTTGATTTTGTTTTGGGTGGTTGGTTTACGGATGATACGTCTTTGAGCAATGAACATAACTTGTTTACCACCGAGTTTCTTTTCAACTTCCCAGATTAATTTTTGTTGGATTTTGTTGTAGGCTTTGAGTTGACGGAATGGAACAAAGATGACAACAGCTTTTTTGCCTTCAGCAACTTCAATTTCTTTGACTGAGCAGACGTTTAAGTCTTTTAAGTCTTTTAATTCTTGGTTGTTGGTTTCAAGATCAACGAGTGATTGAACAACAGTGTTTTCAAATTCAGTGGCTGGTTTACCGTTGTTTTTGATTAATTTTGTCATTTTTGCTATAATTATTATATAAATAGATAAAATTGGATATTAGTTATAATTCATTGGATTGATGAAGAAAAAAGAGATGATTATCCATTTTTTTTATAGATCATAGCTTTGTTTTAAAGATTAATGATATTTGATAAAAGATTGATATATTTTATGTTGGAATAATAAAGTTGATGATAGATTGAAAAAGATAAAAAGTGAAAAATATTGAAAATTGAAAGATAATGTTAATTATTGTTGTTGGTTTAATTGTTTTGATTTGATATTGCATTAATCCAACTTGACAAAGATAACCCTATAATCTAAATAGATAGTATCCTGTATCCCTTTTTCTTTTTTTTTCTGATATCCAGTATCTCTCTTACCTATCGTCGTGTAAAGCTAATCTTAGAGGAAGATTCGTTATCGCCAAAAAAAATTTTATGTGCGCACACTCAAACCAAAATTTTTAAAATTTTTTAAAAACTTTTTTTTTTAAAAATTTTTTTTTTAAAAATAACAAAACTTTTTTTATTTTTTATTTTTTTATTTTTCATAATAACTTTTTTTTTTTGAAAATTATTATCACAAGATGAATTATTTATTAAAACAAAAAAACTCATAATTTAAATAATCATTCAAATATAAAAAAATTTATTTAATTATATAAAAAAAAAAATTAAAAAAATAAAAAAAATAAAAATAAAAAAAAATAATTTAAAAAATAAAATAAATAAATTCATTTTGAGTTTTAGTAAATAATATTGTTTTATTTGTATAATGTTTTTTGTATATTTTTTTGTTTTTTTGTCTTAAGCATTTTCTTTTTTTTTTATTTATTTTTTTTATTTTTTTTTTTTTATTTTATTTTCATTTTCTTTTTTTTTTTTTTATTTTTATTTTTGTTATTTTTATAATATTGGATTTTTCTTTTTAAAAATCAAATATTTTGGATAAAAATTTAAAATTTTATCATATCGAAAATAGAATAATTCTAATGGAACAATAGAAATTATAATTTTTTATTGTTGATATCAAAATATGCAAAGATTTTTTTAGAATCAGGATATTATTTAAAATATCAAATTTTCTTTTTTTTTAAATAAATTTTACTAAATTTAAAATAACTATTTAAACTCTTTTTTTTTATTATTAAATCAAACCATAAATATTTATAGTTATATAATAATAAAATAATAAGAATAATAATAATACAATATTAATAGATAAAGAAATATAAAAAAAAGAATGAAATTATTACTTTTATTGGTTTTAACAGTTTTAATAAATTATGTCCAATCACAATTGGTTTCTATAACACCATATGTAAACTCATGTAGCGAAAGTGAGTCGTTTGGTATTGGTTATCAATTGCCAGTTTCTGAATGCCTTACAATTGGTGATAATAGTTTATATTTAGTATTGTCAAATGATAAACAAGTAGTCAGATCCTATTGGTTACCAAATTGTACTACTCCATTAGATTTTGGTAATGCTATCGAGTTTACTTACAATATTAATAGTTGTAATACCTTCAAGATTCCATATACTGCTGGTCTCTTATCATCCATCAGTTTAAATGCAACTATTCCAAACCAAGCTATCGTATACAACTATTATTATGAATCATCAGGAACTAAATGTTTAGGCCCATCATGTATGTATAAATATTATTACAATTTAAATAACATTTATAATATTAATTTATTTATATATTTTAGACAAAGTATTCTACACCAACAACTATTCATTCGATGACCAAAATGAAGCATACAATAAATACACATGCACAAAGAATGAACCAAGTCTTTACACATGCAATAGAAATGGTGAATGTGAAACTGAAAATTTAGGTGGTGGTTGTCAAAACAATTGGTATTCTGTATACCCATACATTGTTACATGTTAAATCATTACGAATAACAGGGTCATCATTTAAAAAGATAATAGTTTTAATAAAATTTAAAATACTATCAGAAAGAAAAAATATTTATTTATTTATCTATTTATTGGCTTTTTAATTTTTCAATAACCTTAAGGGATTCTTCGATGTGTGATGAGGCATTTAATAAGCTTGAGTGGACATGGGCAATGTTATGATCTTTGTCAATGATAAATGTTGTTCTTCCTGGTAAAAATAATGCAGTTTTACCGACACCATATTCTTTTGCTAACTTTCCGTCTTTATCAGTTAATAATGTGAATGGTAATGAGTACTTGGATGTAAATTTGGCATGACTAGCGGCATCGTCTTGACTGACACCAATAACATTTGCACCGGCACTGATAAATGCTTGATATTTATCTCTAAATTCACATGCTTGTTTAGTGCAGACAGAGGTTTCATCTTTTGGGTAGAAATATAATACAACTGGACCAGTGAATTGACTTAGACTAACTTGGTTACCATCCTTATCTGGACATGTAAATTCTGGTGCTTTATCTCCTACTTTTAATTTTGTCATTTTATTATTGTTAAAATTTATAAAGTATCTTTTATTTGTTTGTTCTTTTTTATCTAAAATTTCACTTGAATTAAAGTTATTATTATTATTAGTTATTATTGATATTGGGCGGTGATATTGCTGATTATTTATTTTACTAATATTATTAAAATAATAAAGTTTATTTAAATAATTATTATTTTTTAAAATTTTTAGTTTATTAATTTTTTCCTTTTTTTTTTTTAAAATTTTTTTTTATTAAAATAATTATTATTAATAAAAAAAAATTGTGTAAATATTTACAGATATTATTTGTTTATTGGTATGGTTTATTTGGAAATTAAATATTTTAATAATTTAAATTAAAATTAGGATTATAAAAAAATAAAATATTTTGAAAAGAAAAAAAAAAAAATATATTTTTTGACGAATCTCTTAATTTTTTTTTTTTTTTAATTAATTTTTTTTTTTAATTAATTTTTTTTTTTATGGAATTTTTTTTTTTTTTACAAATTAAATTTAATTTCAAAAAAGAAAATGATTGTAATAACAATAAATATTATTATTTTTTTATTTTTTTTTATTTACACACAATTCTAATAATTTTTTTTTTATTAATATATAATTAGAATTTAAAATATAAAAACTCAGAAATTTCAGTACCCACCAAAATTTTTATTGATAATGAGTGGCATGATTCAATAGATTGTAATGATAACTTTCAAATTATCAATCCAGTAAATGAGGAATGCTTGGGGTTTATAGGACTTGCAGGAAAAGCCGATGTTGATAAAGCAGTAGAGTCATCCAGAAGAGCTTTTAACAAAGGTGATTGGTCAACCATGCCTCCAATGGAACGTGGAAAATTAATTTACAAGTTAGCAGATAAAATAGAAAATGAATATAGAGAAGTATTGGCCGCTATAGAGTCCATTAATGTTGGTAAACCAATTGGTGAATCATTACCATATGATTTGAAACAAGTTATAAATACATTCCGTTATTTTGCTGGTTGGGCTGATAAAATTGGTGGAAAGACTATACCTGTAGTTTCTCATTCATCCGATTCCCCTAATCAACAAATTTTAGCTTATACTAAACAAGTACCAATAGGGGTTTGTGCTTTGGTGTTACCATGGAATTTCCCATTGCAATTATTGACTTTTAAACTTGCTCCTGCTTTAGCTGCTGGTAATACAGTTATTATTAAACCATCCGAATTTACTCCACTATCAACATTTTATTTGGCCAAAATTATCAAAGAGGTTGGTTTTCCACCAGGTGTTGTAAATGTAGTTTGTGGTACTGGGCAAGTTGTTGGCGAAGCATTATCATCACATATGTTGATTGATAAAATTGGTTTTACTGGCAGTACAAAGGTATTATTTATATTTTATATTTAATATTCCATATTCATTTTTAGTACTAATATAGGTAATTATTATATATACTAAATACTAGGTTGGTAAAATGGTTCAAACATCAGCAATTAATAGTAATATGAAGCATGTATCATTAGAATTGGGTGGCAAATCTCCAATTGTTATTTTTGAAGATTGTGAAAATTTGGATTTAGCAGTTACAAATTCATATCATGCATTATTTTGGAATGCAGGTCAATGTTGTTCAGCAGCATCGCGTATTTATGTTCAATCATCAATTTATGATAAATTTTTAGAAAAAATGAAATTAATGGTAGCAAGTCGTATCTTGGGTGATCCATTGGAAATGACAACACATCAAGGCCCACAAGTTAATCGTGCACAATTTGAATCAGTAATGAAATATATTGAACTTGGTAAAAAGGAAGGTGCTCGTATAGTATGTGGTGGCCAACGTTGGAGAGACAAGGGTTACTATATTGAACCAACAGTTTTTGCTGATGTCACTGATTCAATGACAATCGCAAGAGAGGAAATCTTTGGTCCAGTTATGGCTGTGATGAAATTTGATACCACCCAAGAGGTTATCGATCGTGCCAATAATTCAGAATATGGTTTGGTTGGTTCTGTATTCACAAAAGACATTAATAAGGCCATTATCGTTTCCGATAGAGTACGTTCAGGCTTGGTTTGGGTTAACTCTTTTAATATTATTGATCCAGCCATTCCATGGGGTGGACTTAAATCTTCAGGTAAAGGTCGTGACGTTTCCGAATATTCATTACAAATGTGGACTGAAACCAAAACTGTTGTCATAAGTGCATCACTTTAAAATGTATAAATATATTATAATAAAAAATAATAAAGACCTATAATCACAATATTAAAAAAATTATGGTGTACATTTTAAATTTTATTTATTCAATTATACTATTTTTAATATCGTTAACAAGAGTTGGTGAAATATAATGTTTGTGAATTAATATTGCGCATAAATTTGAAAGCTCGGTCAATTTTTGAGCTGCATCTATCGATGGTTGTACATCATCAGGTTTGATATTACTAATATTTCCATTCATAGCAGCTATTGTATTGTGTATTAATTTTTCACCACCACATAACCTGTAGACAACATCCGAAGCATCAACATAGTCATTCGAAGCTTTGATTAATTTTTCTTTGAGGTGTTCGTAACCCTTCCAACTTTCTATGTATTTGACATTTTTTTTTGCTGTTGGTGTTATTAATTTGGTGACTTTTTTTCTTTCAGACATAACTTTCAATTTGTTTTTTAAAAATAATTATAAAATTTTTTTTTTTTTTTAAACAATAATATAAAATTAAAATAATTAAAAAATTAAATTAAATATAAATTTTTAATAAAAATGAATATTATAAAAAATTAAAATAAAAAATAATTTATAAAAAAAAAAAAAAAATTATTTTAGTTTATTTAATAAAGTGTTTAGTTTATCATTTATAATTTGATTGTCTTCGTTTTCTAGTTTTTTATCCTTAAGTAAATTTAAAGCACGGGTCAGTGTGTTTCTGCAATTTTCCATCAAAATTTTAGTTTTTTCTTTATTTTCTTCTTTTTTATTTTCATAGATATTGATTAAGCCTATATTATAAAAAAAAAATAATTAAAATATTAATAACTTTATTTTTTTCTATTATATATATACTAAATAAACTTACTTAATGATATAATGAAAAATAATTCAAATTGTTTGAAATAATTGAAAGTTAATAAAATTTTAATAGATTTTAAAATTATTTTTAAATTATATAGCAATTCCTCTTGACCAAAGTTTTTACTTTCATTATCGTTTATAAATAAATCTTGATATAAAATTGATATTTGTTTTAAGAAATAAATTATTTGAATGATAGAGTTTAATTCTTGATCTTGATTAATTGTAAAGCTATTAAATTTCAAAAAGTTTTTTAAAAGTTGATATAAAAACATTGATTTTTCTTGTGAATCATTTTCCTTTGGTTCTATTTGAGTATCGATTAAATTATTTTTTATTAAAACTGGTAAAATGTTATTAATTAAATATTTGTAGTAGTAGCTTGGTGAATTTGGTAATTTATTTACTAAATAAATTAAAATTAGTTTTTTAAATTTATATTTGTTTTTTGTAAATAAAATATTATTGCTTTTATCATTATTTACAAGTAAACTTTTGATCTATAGAAAAAAAAAAGTTAGTGTTAAAATTTAAAAAAAAGGGTGATTTTGGGGAAATGTATAAATATTACAGTTACTTACAATTTGATTTAAATAGTTTTCGGAAACAAAACAGATTTCGAATAAATTCGAAATTTGAAATAGTTCTATTACTTTGTTATTTATGCTATTGCTATCGTTATTATCCCAAATCGACTCTAATGATAATAGTTTATTTAAACTTAAATTTGAAAATAGATTGTTGTCGTTGTCAATACTGCTGTTTAACAAATTATAAATTCTAAATTGTAATTTCCAGTCAAGATTGAAAAATTTAATATTTTTTAAAATTGTTTCTAAATCTATAATATTATTATTATTATTATTATTTAAATAGTTTATTAAGTTTTCTATTAAATTATAAAATAGTTCTAAAAATATTGGAGAGTTTTGAGTATGTTTATTATTTATAAATTGATAGTTTATAGTTTCTAAAAAATCTAAAAAGAAATCTCTGAGTAATAGTTTTTGGTTATTAACTTCGTTGTTAATAGGATTATTATTTAATGTGGTTGGGTGGATATTGCTTAGTTGATTTAAATAAATTGTTAAAATTTCAAAAAATAAATGTAGTTGATTTGGTTCGTCTGAATTTTTTTTAAAGGTTTTTAGAAATGGGGTTATGAATTTGACAAAGATAATATTTAAATTTTTTAAATAATTTAAATAGCTATATATTATAATATTATTATCTATACTATTATTGCTATTGATGTTATTATTATCTATATGATTTAAAATAAAGTTGAAAAATGATTTAAAATTAAAAATGGTTGAGTCATTTGAAAATAAAGTTGCACCTCCAACCATTTCATTGTTTGGCAAGAAAAGTTCCAAGATAGAATCAAATATACTTTCGGTTGATATATATAATTTGTTAAATAATAGTTCTATAAAAAATTTAGATTGACCTTTGTTTTTTAAAATTGATTTTAAAACTCTATTTAATAATAATGGTAAATCTAAGAATGATATAAGTTTTAAATTTTCTAAAATTTTTAATTCATTTTCGGTTGAATCTGCTGTGATTGGTTCTTCTTGAGTTGGTTTTTGTTCATTGGTTTCTTCGTTTTCTTGTGCTTGGGCGTGTTGCTGTTGGTTTATATTCAAAGTTAATTGGTTTAATGATTTATTTAATAGTGACTGAATTGATTGTGGTGATGATGATTTATCAGTTTCTTTAATTTGTTGTATTATATCAGAGCCAATGTCTACGATTTGATGATTTAAATCTCTTAAGAACTGAGTTGATAAGTTTGGTAAGCTAGATGATAAAAACCAATGCACCAAATAGGTTGATACTTGATTATAGTTTAAGAGATTAAGTTTGGTTTTATAAAATTTTGAAATGTAAATCATTATATATATTAAGTTTTTAATTTCTTCTAAAAAGAGTGTAGAGGAGGTGGATGAAGATGTTGAAATAGTGTAGTTGCTGTCAAATACTTTTATAGCGATTGGTAGTAGTTCTTGGAACCATATCATGAAATAGTTTTCGATTTGATTATTTAATAATTTAATTTTATTTAAGTGAAACGGTATAGATATTATTAAATTTAATGGTTGTTTGATTTGTTTAAGGTTTTCTAAAGAGATATCTTTTTGTAAGTTGTCTAAATATCTTCTAAGTATTATTAAAATTTTACCATATAGATAGTATATATCTTTATTGGAGTCGTTATTATTAAAATAGTGTAAAAAATTGTAATAGTTGAAAATTTTAAAATTATTATTAATATCTTTAGTTTCGGTATTTATTTCTTCTATTTGATAATTATTATCTGTATTATTATCTGTATTATTATTTTGATCTTTATTAACTAGGGAATATAAGCTAAAATTTAAAATACCAATTAAACCATTTTGAAATTTATTATTATTTAATATTGTGTGAAGTTTAAATAGTCTACTATGAAATAGCTTGAGTGGATATAATTCAAATATTTTTTTTTCCCATTTGATAAATATTATATTATAAAATGATTCTAAAAAAAAAATTAATTTATCTGTGATGGTGGGGTTGGGAGTGGAGATGGTGATATCCGATAGTTCAACTAGTGTATTCAAATAGCTGATTGTAAATTGAAATTGAAATGATTTAATATTGGGTGTTGATTTTATAATATCGATGCCATCATTTAAAATTGAGTCAATAAAAAATTCTAATATTATTACTTTATTATTTATATTGTTTATTATTTCACTATTATTGTTGTTTGTAAATATTAAACTGAATAAAGTATTCATTAAACCTATATTAATCCCATTAGTGGAGGTTTTGATTTTAATTGATTTTATAAATTGGTCGAAAGGATTTACTAATATGAGGGTACTATTGTTATCATGGTTATTATTATTACTGTCACTTTTATAGTTTATTATTAACAACTCTGTAAAGTTATTGGATAAATCTAACTTTTCAATAAAGTATAAAAAGCAATTTAATGGAAGGATGAAGTGATAGTCGCTATTTTGTTTAAATTCTATACTACTCCAATCTGATGGAAAGTTGATATTTGAATGTGGCTTTAATTTACTAAAACTATCCTTATTATACAAAGTTGTTTTTTTAAATAATGATTTACAAACTATATATTTGAACATTGATTTTATTATTAAATATTCATTGTTGTACTGGTTTATTAAATTATTAAATAATTCGCTACATTTTTTAGTTAAATTATTTAAACTATTGATTTCTGAATATAGAATTAATTGATCATCTGGTTGCTGTTGTTGTTTTTCTTTATAGTTTTTTATTAAAAATGATAGTGATAGGAGAATTGGTTTAATTTCTTTTTTGATTATATCTTTAAAGTATTTTTCATTATTACAATTATTATTATATGTTATTTGTGGTAATAAAATTGATTCTGCATATTGGTTTCTATCAAATCTATATTTTACACCAGTTTCATTTTGATATTTCTTTTGTATTGATGATTTAACTGTAACATTTTGTGAATTTTTAGAAAACATAAATTGGAAAGTTGGGGGTATTGAAGAAATTTTAAAAAAAAAAAAAAAAAATTAAATGATTTTTTACATTTTTTAATTTTTTTTTAATTTTTTTTAATTTTTGTTTTTTTTTTTTTTTTTATTTTTAATAAAATATTTTTAAATTCCTTTTTAATACAATTTACAAATAATTTGTTGAACTTGCATATTATATTAAAAAAAAAACTATACTTATTTTTTAAAAATGAGTTCAAATATAGAAAAAAACAATAATACAGAAATAAGTAAAACCAATAATTCAGAAACTAAAGATGATAATAATAATAATGAAAATAAAATATTAGAACCAAAACCAGATAGTGATAGTAATAACAATAATACCGAAAATAAAGTTTTCAAAAATAAAAATAATCAATGGTCATATTTTTCAGAAAAAGAAAAAATATATTTTATTTATGACGAAATTAATAAGCAATGGTATCCCGAAATCACTAAAGAGATGGTAGAATCACAACAATCCATTTATAAAAAGAGTGAAAAAAAGAGAGATAAGAATCAAGAGCTGGAAGAGAATATATCAGAACTATATATATCAGGTTTACCTATTGACGGTTCAGTTAGAGAAGAAGAAATCAATAAATATTTAAAGAAATGTGGATTTGTAAAGAAAAATGAATACGGTAGACCAATTATAAATCTATATGTTGACGAAAATAATCTATTCACTGGAAATGCACTTGTATCATTCGAACGTAAAGAATCAATACCCATTGCCATCCTTCAATATGATGATACTGAAATTGTGCCCAATCATCCAATAAAATTAAGAAAAGTATGTATAAATCCCCCTATTTTTATTTTTGTAACCACAGATATTATATTACAAATACCCACATGTTTACTAACTAACCCTTTCATTTTTTTTAGGCAACTTTAGAAGAATCATTATCAGTTAATAATGCAACACAAAACAGTAACAATAATAGCAACAATAAAAAGAAAAAACAAAAAAAAAGCGGTCAAGATAAAAGATCAGAATATGAAAACGAGTTAAAATATGGTTGGGCTGATTCTGAAAGCAAAACAGTTATAATAAAGAACCTATTTTCACCATCAGAAGCATGGGAAGACCCAAACTTTTTCAATTCGCTCCAAGCAGATTTAGAAGATGAAACCCATGGTTGTGCCAAATGTGGCGAAATTTCATCCATTCATATATTTGAATACAATCCCGATGGTGTAGTATCTGTAAAGTTTAAAGAGTTTGAATCGGCTGAATCTTGTGTAGCTTTAATGGATGGCAGATTTTTTGGTGGTAGAAAACTATCTGCAGATTTTTATGATGGCTTTACAAACTATCATGTTGACGAAACAGATGAAGATAAAGAAATACGTTTAAAGAAATGGGAAGAATATATTAGTAAAGAAGAAGAATAATAATAATAATAAATAATAATAATAATAAATAATTATAATAAATAATAATAATAATAATCTCTAAATAAAATAAACTTAAAAAATGTATTGCTATCGGGACACTCACCCCTGAGGATGGGGGTGCTTTATTGTAATTTTTAAAAATAAATAAAATAAAAACTAAATGGGGTAATTTTTAAAAATAATATAATAAATAAAAACCATATTTATATTTTCCACTTAATAATTAATTATATAAATATGGTAATTATTTAAATAATGGTTAATTGATGGTAAGTGATAAGCTTGTTTAAAAATAGCAATATACCATTGGTCATTAATAAAAACATTATATCTTAAAAAAAAGATATATGATCTTAAAAATAAAAATAATATTTGTTTTTTTTTTTTTTAATATATTATGTAATTTTTATTTTTTTAATCTATAATAAATAACAAATAGTTATTTTATTTTTAAAAATTATTTTTATTTTAAAAAACACACAAATAATTAATGTACAGATAATTGAAAAAAAAAAAATAGAATTGGGTTGTACGAAAATGAAATTTTAAAATATTTATATATATATCTAAATTATTAATACAATCTTGATTAAAACATATGATAGATCTTAACGAAAAAAAAAAAGGTATTAAACACAAACTAACTCTTTAAAACTTAAATCTTTCTTTAAATATATATAAAAAAACCTATCAATTAATTAATTTCTATATTTATATATGATTTTTTTATTTTAAAAATAAATAGATATTTATACATAAAAGAGAGAAGTGTATTTATATATGGGTTCAAATTTGTTTGTTGTTTTATTTTGTGTGTGGGGTGTGGGGTATGTTTTTATTTTAAAATTTTTTTTTTTTTTTTTAAATTTATACGATTTATTAAAATAGAAATATTAATTTATATATATCTTAACCTTTTATTATAGTACTACATAATAATAACACAAAGAAATATAAATAGGATATTAATAATGGGATAAACAAAAAAATAAAATAAAATGTGTGTGGGAAATTTTTTGTGTGTTGGTGTTTAAAATTTTGTTCTGTAATTCTGAGTACAATTCTTACCTTTATGGAAATTGTATAGTATTTAATTACTGTTTGGATATAAATCAACAACAACAATACCAGCAACACAATAGTGTGAAAATTAATAATTCAAATAACAATGATGATTTTATATATTAAAATAAAATTAAATTAAAGAAAAAAAAAGAAAGTTATTTAACAAAAAAATATTTAAATAATTTTTTTTTTTTTTATTAATTCATTAATTCAACAATTCATTAATTAAACAAATAATAAAACCAAAAAAAAAGTTTAATAAAAAACAATATAGTACAATTTCAAAAATGATTTTAAGTAAGAATTATTTATAAAAATTTCAACTTATATAAATGTATTAATTATTTTTTATTATTATTTTAATTTTAGATAATTTAATTAAAAGCTTTAATTTATCAAAAAACAATCTCAACAACAATAATATATACAATGAAAATATAATAAATAACAATTATAATGATAATATAACAACCAAAAAAAGTTCATCAATAGTATTAAAATCATTCTATAAAATCAATATTGTATAAAAATATTCCCCTAAATATTTTATTTATTGATTTAATAATACTTTATTTTTATTTATTTATTATTTATTTATTTATTTATTTTATCAACTTTCAAAAAACAAAAGAAACCTTTATCCCTCCAAAACTAATAAAAAAATAAAATTTATTTTTTTTAAAAACTATAATTATTTCTTTTTTTGTCTTATTTATTTTTTTTCCATAAATATTTAATATTAACAAAAGTTTTATATTTAATGATAATACTATAGCTTTTTTTTAATTTAAAAAAAAAAAAATTAATTTTTTTTTATCATTTTTTATTTATTTTTTTTTGTTTCTTTTTTTAGTGATTAAACCATCTATCTTCACCCAATAAAATAATTCTAGAAGTTGAATAAGACATACCAAGGAAAAATGTATAGACCAACATAAAATAAAAATATTTTGGTGGGTTGTTCCAATGTAATGCCTCTATTCTGTAGACTCTAGTTTCGATGTACATTGAAATAATATCGGTGATCCATTCAAAACTAAATTGAATTCCCATACTTGCAAATAAAATTGTGTAATCTAAATTCTTTTTATCAAATACATTATAGAAAGCAACATAGACCATACATGAAGTTAAAATTGAAGTATTTTCATAAAGTTGTTCATGTCTAAGGAAATCTCTGTAAATCTTGTCAAAATCTTTGGTATGTTTTAATTCTTTTTTGAAGCAAAAACCACAAATGGCATTCATAATTTTCTTGTCTCTTGGTCTCAAAGTAGTTCTCCAAACCAACTCTGTTAAACTTACAATTGCCATAGTACCAGACATGAATAATAAAGACACTAAAATAAAAAAAATTTTATTTTTTTATTAATATAATTGTTTTATGCATTTTTTTAATTATATTTTTTATAAGTATTTAAACACTTACTATTAGAATTAAAAAATCTACCATAATATGTTGAAAACCACATGAAAATTAATACTGGAAAAACGTTTGTGCCAGGAATCAAAGGTTTGATACGTGATGAACATGAACGGGCAATAAACAAACCGGTGGCGCAGAGACCTGGATGAATTAAAATACGTACAACTGATTTATTGATAGAGTTTGTTTTGGTGTACCATGGCAATAATAAGAAATCGTAGATAACTAAAATAATAGCGGCTAAAACGAATTGACCCATAAAAAGATGTCTGAATTTAGGATTGTTTATTTTTCTTCCCATATAATGAGATGAAGCAACAAGAGCAATGACGAAAAATCCATATGATGGTAAAAGCGATAGGGTTTGATCGAGTACTTCGTGTACAGTGTTAAAAATTGCCCATGCTGACGCACCAGCAGAGGCTCCCAAACATATAAATAATGGAACAATTGTCATTCTGAACCCAAAAAATGTTAATAATAAAAAGTATGGGACATCATAAAGAGTATTTAAAACGTACGACTGATTGAATGGTGATGATTGCCCATGTGGCCATGTTGATGATGGGGTATCCGATAAAACGACAACCAGTAGATTCACAACATACCGATAGCATAGCTGAATGACCATGTCAAAAGAAGATCTTCATAAAATAACACAATCCTTTAATAAAATTTTGTGGCTGAATGGTTCGTGATTCTTTTTTTCCTCTCAAATGCTTCGATTGGTTGTTCAATGTCATCTCCTGGTGTTTTTCCATCTCCTTCACCCTCTTCATAGCCATAATCATCTTGAAATCCCTTCATCCTCTTCATAGTACTCTTCCATATCGTTTTCGTTTTTATTCATTTGATCTTGTGAATCTCCAACAATAATTGATGGGGTATTTAAAATAGTGCCTGTTTGATATGCTGAATGAACTAGATCATTTGATGCATTGAAATTTGGTATTGGTGATGGTCCATTAGGTGTACTATCATCAATTTTATTTATATCATTATTATTATTATTTACATTGTTATCTAATTTTTCATTATTATTTTCATCGGTTGAAATTATAATAGCTGGTGGTTTTGGTAAATCATTGATTGCTAGTGTTGGGATATCATTGGTTGTTATTTCTGTATTGGTTGTTGGTTCAGTTGTTGATGATGTAGTGGTTGTAGTAGTGGTTTCTGGTTTTTGAACTGGTGGTAAATTGGTTAAACTAGGATCTCTACTAGCCTGTGGACGTAATTGGACGGATCTTCTTTGATTTGGATCTCTGCTAGTTTGTGGACGTAATTGAGATGATCTTCTTTGTTGTCTTGAAATGGGTGGGTTTGCACCTAAAAAATTTGAGTCTGTTGGTGGTAAATTTGTACCATCACCAACTAATACAGTTGTATGTGATCTATTTTGTCTTGTTGGAACTGGTGATCTTTGTGGTCTTATAGGTATATTAGAATTTCTTGAGACCTCTGTATGAGATCTTGATCTTGGTTGTGAGTGTGGCTCACTATCTGAAATTTGAATTGATAAAGCGCTTGAATTTTCACCTTCTTCGCCACCTTCGCCGCCTTCTTCATTTTCATTTCTGAATCTTGATGCTAACAAATCGAACAATGAAAATAATGTTGTTGCCATTTTTTATTTATTTATATTTGTATATGTTCTTTTTTTTAAGTATCGTTTTAATAGGGTTTTAAAATTACAATTTTATTTATTTATTTTACAAGTGGAACTATTTTTCTAAAAAAAAAAAAAAAAAAAATTAATATTTAAATTTTAAAATTAATTAAATTAATTATAATTTTACAAATATAGTAGTAGTGATGGTAGTAGTAGTATTACAAATATTATTTTACAAATAAAAAATAATTTATTAAGTTATTTTTTATTATTTATATGTTATTATTATTTTACAATAAAAATGAAAATCAAATTAAAAAATGAAAAATTGTGGTGTTTTTATTTTAAAAATTATTTTAAAAAAAAAAGAGTATTATGACGGTTATTTCACATAGAAATAATTATAGATGATTGTGGAAGTAATAGTAGTAATTGTGATAAAAATATTTTGATTGAAATTAAAAATAAACACACACACAGAATTATTTTTATTATATCTTTATCATTCAGAAAATTAAAATTATTATAAACTAATCAAAACAATATTATTTTTAGTAGCTATGACAAAAGAAATGTTGGTTTTATGTGAGTATTGTGTTTATTGATTATTGGTGATATAAAATAATATTGAACTTTAAAAAATGTGATTTATTTTAACAAACAAATTCGCACGCACACACCCACACTTTATGCTTTCAATACCACTATTTATAAAATCACCACAAAAAAAAAATTAATGTATTAAGATGATTGTGGTTAATGGAAAAAATAAACACACAAAGATATTTTTTTATTTTATATTTTAGGTATCGATAATAAACAATTATATAAATAATTTAAAAATAAATATTTTTAAAAGAAATAATTTTTAAAAATAAAATAAATTTTGTGGTTAAAAAAAAAACTAAAAATAAAGTGGGTGAACTTAACCCGCTTTTAAAAAAAAATATATTTTTAAAACACACAAAAATTAATTAATTAAAAAAAAAAAAAAAAAAAAAAAAAAAATGTATCGATTC